ATACACACACATACATACATGCTTTGCATCAGTAGTACAGAGAAAGAAAAAGAAAATCACTGAAAACTGCGCTACAAAACAAACGCAAACATGGAGAGTATATTTAGTAAAGCTGTATTTATGGTAGCAATGGAATCCAGATCTTGTGTTTCTTTCTACTTTGAACTTGTTAGCTGAAGACATACCATATCCTAAGGTTGATGTTCATGCACAATGAAATTTAATTCAAGTGCCTGTAACACAAACCATCACTAATGGTTAAGAATATAGTTTGGTAAAAATGAAGGAATGAATGGATCTGCATCAGTGTAATCGATTTTTTCCCAGTTCATTTATTATCTATAATAATTGATCACAAATATCTTATGAACTCCACTGATGAAATCTACACCTGGTAATGTCGTGGCTCAAACTGTCAGTAAGTGACTTCATATCATACCGCATTTTTCAATCTACTGATATACTAGTCATTATTTCGTGTGTGGAGCTGATTGGCGATTAGGTTTACGTAACATATGTGTTCTAATCAGTTTGACCAATAAAGTTTCACGACTTGTTCAACTGCCTTATCACTTTCATATTTAACTTCATCTCTAAGCCCATAATTAATCAGTGATTTCATACGGGAGCAGCACTTCAAGGGCAGCTAACTTCAGGTACTTGTAATTTATGTATATCTTCTGTTATCGTAAGCCATGTTTCGCAACTGTAGAGTGACATAGAGCGAACTGGGGCTCAAAGTACCTATCCTTTAATAGGCAGACATGTATTGCAACAGTTCTACATATGACTTAAGTTGGGAACAGTCATAGGGGCCTTTTTATTCATACTGACATTTTGTCTATCACTGGAATCATCATGCAGTCAAGTTACTCTTATTGTTAAGTCTGATTTTTCAAAATCAGTTGAAATAGTTAAGTTTTTTCTCCTATTCTCTAGTCGAAATATTATTTATTGCACTTTTACTGTCCTGAGAATAGATTTTGTTTTATTCCACTCCAAAGTGGTTTTTCTTGTAGTCATTACTAACAATCAAATCGGTTCTCATAATTATACTGTTACCCAAAAATTTAGGTAACGGAGATGGGGATAGTACTTACTTACGCCTGTTACTCCTCGTGAAGGAGCATAAGCCGCCCACTAGCACTCACCATCCAACCCTGACCTGAGCAATCCTTTCCAGTTGCTATTCATCTTTTTCATATCTCATTCTGTTTACCGAAGTAATGTGTTCTTTGGTCTTCCTCTTTTTCGCTTCCCCTTCAGAATTCCAAGTTAGGGCTTGCCTCGTGATGCAGTTTGGTGATTTCCGTAATGTATGTCCTATCCATTTCCATCGTCTTTTCCTAATTTCCTCTTCATCTGGAAGCTGGTTTGTTCTCTCCCACAGAAGGCTGTTGCCGATGGTATCCGGCCAATGGATGTTGAGTATCTTGCGTAGATAACCATTTGTAAATACTTGTACCTTCTTGATGGTTGTTGTTGTAGTTCTCCAAGTTTCAGCTCCGTTCAGTAGAACTGTCTTGATGTTCGTATTGATTGTGACGTTGATATTGGCTGACAGACAGTTGTTTTGAGTTCCATATATTGTTCAATTGTAGGAATGTGTCCCTTGCTTTGCCAATCCTCGCCTTTACGTCTGCATCTGAACCTCCTTTTGGTCATTGATTAGAAATAAATATCATACTTGTTGAACACGTTTTCAGTGGCTATCATGACGTAGTAGAGTAACCTAAGGAGGATAAACTAGCTTTTGAAGTGATATATATGCTTATTGGATCCAAGTTTCTTATTGAACACTAGCTGTGTGCTCTAAATATAACCAGGTGATGACAAATCCTAAATGGGACATAACACATATTTAGAATTCTGCTTCTTGTCACTATCCTAAATTGCATACATAATTGTTTATGTTTCCTGCGTGTTGTGTTTGTCAAATTACAATGGACAAATAATTCATGTAAAAGAAGAAATCTGTTATTACATTTTTTTTTACTAAAACAAGAAGCTATTCTCAATTGATCCATTTTATTAGTTCATCATATTGTATCACTTAATATTGATTAGCTTAAAGTAATTTAATAGCCTAAATGAATGTATGTGCATATATTTGTTACATGTAAAATTTAATATATTTTCTGATTAAATACTAAAAACAAGGTGCATTCTGAGCACAATTATTGTATCATTCAAATAAACCTCGTAATTTATGAGTATTCTTTTAAAGTAGATAAATGTTCAATATAATATTTAGGTTTTAAATCTTTTACTCTAATCAAAACTGCTATTTTCATACTTTACTCTCATGATTGGTAATTGTAACGACTCAACCTGAAAGATATTGTTTTCTATAGTTCCTCTGTTTTACCATGTGTGCAGATTTACTGGTTAGTTGTGGCGCGAAAATATATTTAACAATCCAGATTCTAGAGTGATATCCTACGATTAAGTGTAATGGCAATATAAATTAATTCAACATCGATAACTAACTTCCCTAATGGTGTTGGATCTTCAGAGTCAGAATAACGCATCGAAATAAGTCGGTTTTAAATAATCTACCACATACTCTTGGTTCCTCTATATCTTGTTCCTGGTACTAATAAGTGCATCTACTCATGAGTAAAAATATTCAATCAATCAGAAACAACAATTTTTCTTTTGGATGCCAGATCAATGAGTCTATCAACACTTCTGTTTTCCAAATTGAACTAGAATCGTGGGGGATACTATCAAAACAGAGAGATTTGTTCCTTATACTAAACTACTGTTAACTCTCGTATGGATTAATTTGGCTTGAGTTGTATAACAGTAGTTTAAGTGAAACAAGTTCGAAATTCCCTGATAAAAACAATTTCTTCAAGATTGGGTATATATATACATATATGCCTTACTAAAAAGTTGCTAACTAGCATAAAATACAAAACGGGTTTAAGGTTTCTTGTCGATTGCATTCAAGCAGCGACCCTCTTAATATTTATTAACTGATTTGCATTCACTTCATAGAAAACTATTCTGGGTAGTGTTTAGACACGCGTTTGGGAAAAAACAGGCTGTGTAAAACCATTATACCACACTCCCTTTCAGGTTCAAGTAAACTTGTAGATATACATTAAAGTGGCCTAAAACTGTAGTTCATCTTTGACACATCGTTGGATTAGATATCTACTAGAGAATACAATTGATAGTTCATCTGAATAGAATATCTTTCTCAATGATTTCGACAATCGAATTCTCAAGATCTCTACAGCCTCATATCTACCAGTTTTCCGTGGCTAAAGCATGTTATGTTGGTCACAGTAAAGATTCTCTTTCCAGAAGTATATTGAAACATATTCTGGTATGATTGCATAAAGGTGATTGTAAATCAGTTAATAGTTCTATTATTAAACACATGATCAATTCCGTTAGTTTATAATCTCTACAGGAATGTTCTTTGAAAAATCTATTTTCTTTTCTAAACCAACTTAAAGTTAATAGTTTAGAGCGAATAAATCCACCCTCTAATTTTCTTAATTTTTCCAATCAGATATAGCAGGGTTTTTTTATATTTTCGTTTACCAAGCAAGAGAACCGAACTATCTCTTGGCAAAACTGCTGGTATTCCTTCTTCTGTCTTGTCTGGATTACTGTTATTATCATTATTATTCATGTGTATTTGTGTGTGTCCATCCGTTCGTGTATCTCCTTTTCATCCTCTGTCTAAGTTATTCATAGTAATAAGCTTTATTATTATTATTATTTAGGGAATGGAATGTTGAAGAAAATTAGAAAAATTTTGCTTCCTTATAGACAGATATGCATGTAATATATAGATAGATGATTATTGGAATTATTTATTTGCCAAACTTTTTAAATACTTGAGGAAAATAAAATAAAATAAAACATTTTAACCTAACATGTCATTCATGATTATTATTGTTAACTCGGTTCTTTTCCTTTGGTAAGTCGGGTAGAGATTGTATAACTATTATGTTATTGACTGACGAAAAGCGTTCTTTTTGAGAAAGTTACATAACGGTATATATATACAACCTAAAGTGTTTTAGTTAAAACAATATTTTCTCTTTTCTGAATGACTTATGATTTTTTTTATGTGGGGATCGCTGTAGGGAGGAGACTTAAGTTTACGGGCATTGACTGATATGTGTAATTAACTTTTCATTTCTGTTTAAAAAATAGCTACGTTTATCACTAACAAGTTATCGTATTCAGTTTTTTCTTTTGCTTTGATTCGATGATAATGTTGTCAACTTTTTGTTGCTTTAATTACTGCTTCTTCAAAAAGTTTAATAATTTCAATAGGCTCTTTATTTATCGTTAAATGAATTAGTTTGAAAAAAATTTAATTTTAAAATATATACAGTTAATTACAGTCATTGAATTGTAACCAATGTTATGTTTGTCTAGTCCTTTTTATTATTGATTTAATTCATAATATCAATTTGCAACATAAACACTAGCCCAAGTAACTGGACATCAATGCACTATATTAAGGTGTTGAGTAATTGGAGATAGTCGACAGCATATCATGAACCTAGGTTTCCCACCACCTAGCTTTCATCAGCAACGATGTTGAGTCATTTGCACTAGTGGCTTCAGTTCGACTACCTACAATCACGTTATATATAATTGCTTCTCTCAGATGCGTTCTATTTAAATTTAATATCAAGAGTTCTGTTGTTTTTTTATTTGCAGACATTTTCCTTCACTTGGATCGTGCCGATCAACGTATTCACGAGAAATAAACTAACGTTTAAATATTTAAACTAGAAATGAGTCTTGTTCATAGTTATTAAATTAAATGCATTGCCTATTTTATTGTGTTGAGATCTTAATGTTCAAAATATTCCAACCAGTAGGTCGTAGATTCAATCTTCACATTTTTCACTTCGATAACGCCTAAGATCGTAGTAATTACTTTAAATCGAACGCCTATATACATTTAAACCCTGTTTTTGGTTTGTGAATTACATTTTTTCGCATGCTTTTTTTTGTTACAGAACGAGAAGCAAATCCGAATGAGCCTTCGTCGTTACGTGATACTTTTACAGAATCTGATTTTACTAAAACAACAACAATATCATCTATGCATAATGCGGTTACATTGGATGGTTGTGATACAAAAAATTTTGATAAATCTAACAATCAAAAATATTCTTCAACCTTTAATCATCATCATCATAATGAGACGGCTTCAGAAACAATGAATTCATCTTTGCATAATAATACAAATAATTCAAAATGTCAAAATAATAAAACGGATGATACATGTAAGGCGTCGATAACCACAACAGTGTCTAATAAGTCTAATTTCCATAAAGATTCCATTGTTTATTCCTCTCAGTTAGACATTAGTAATAATAATAATACTAGCTCTCCTGGAAGTGAGAGTTTTCTTGGTAGTTTCGATGGTTGTGGTAGTGGAGGCGGTGACGGTGGTCGTGGTGGTTCTTCCACCTCTTATCTATCACCTGCTTCATCTTCCGCTAAAGATTCAAAAACAGAAGAGGATCTAGAAGAAGAAAAATACTTGAACAATAATAATAATATTGACAATTGTAACAATAAATCAATAATGAAAAATCACAATTCTTACCATCATCAACAATTGTCGTCTAGTCCTAAAATTTTAACAACTCATCTAATACAAAATAAATTCAATCCACATCCACTAGCTACTATTAATCAATCACTGAATGTCACTACTAACAATAAAACTCATCATAGTAATGATAATAATAATAATGTGTGTATTCACAAAAATGAAACTTGCAATGTCTGTGATCAAACTAGTAATCATTTAAATAATACTTGTAATATAAATTGTAAAATTAATTCTACTCCGTCAGTTAATGAATCTCCTGTTTATGATAATTGTATACCAGATATTATTAATTCAATAACGGCGACAACAACAAATCATCATAATCCAGTGAAATTATTGACTACTACGAACAATTGTAAACATTCACAACATCAATTACTGTCTAATAATAATAATAATAATAATAATAATAATAATAATAATAATAATAATAGTTTTAGGCAAATAAATAATGATCATATTCATCAGTCACCACGTATGACGACATCAGCAACTAATCATAGTCCAGTTTTCACAATGAATGGTATTAACAAACCTTGGAGTTCTGTAGATGGTTATAATACGTCACGTATTGTAGTTGGCACTACAATAAAAGAAGAAGAAATTGAAAGCGAAGAATTCAATTCATTGACAACATTTCAATCATGTACTACCGAACAGGAGAATTTAAAAAATTCTACTTCTACAAAATCTTCTAATCAACAAAAACTTATGAATTCATACAATCATATCAAAGATCCTTTGAATTTACCAGTTCAATTAGGTCCACATCTTGCAGCCGCTGTTGTACAAGCATCTGATGAAACTGGAACAGCAACTGCTGATCTAGTCGCTGGTTTAGCTGAAGTTCGTCGACGACCAATTGATGCCAGAAATAGACTTCGCCGACTTGGTTTAATGCAAACACCAGATAATGGGAATTTTTATGAAGAATTATCATTTAATAATAAAGTCGGCAATTCAATATCAAATCGTTTATCTTTACCAGCAAGTATTAATCTCCCACCGCATTTATGGCATAGAGCTACACAATTTTTAGAAGAACCTATGTCAAGACGTGAGCGTCGATGTTCATTAGTAAGTGTCGTTGTTAATATTCTTAAGGCTATTTTTAGTAGTTAGAAATTTATAAAAACAAAACTTGTATATGATTAAGTTTCGAAATCATACTACGATAATCGAATATACGTCTAATTACTTTTTAATCAGTTTACACTGGACAGGTTTTTGCACTCTCTGTGAAATTAAGAAGCATATTAAAATCCAAACCATTAGCTTTGAATTTTTTGATCAATATTTGTAGCTACAAATGAAGATATGTATCATGCATGTTTTCACCTACTACGCACTGTAACCTATATGCTTTATGCTTCATTGTAACTGGTATTCATAAATTAATAGCAATTAAAAAAATCCTTGAAAACCTGCTTTGTACATTGAACAACTATTTTGTATGAATTGAAAGATATCTGCCGAAATAGAACTTAATAAACTTCTTTAGAATAGGTACACCGATTTGATTGTAGATAGTTTCGTCAAACTTGAGTTGACCGTCTTTCGTGCACGTGCATTTAAGAACCAGTTGTTCACAGTTTGTTACTGACTGATGAAGGTAGGCAGTCAAAATACTGGCAAATTATGTTTATAATCTCAAAAAGGGGTATTTTTGTAAACTAGAATGATACATCAAACGAAACCATTGACTAACCAGAGATATGAATATTATTATTATTATTATTATTAGCTTTATTCAATATTATAATTTTGGTACAATATAGAATTCTCAGCGCAAAGTATTTCAACAAGTTTCCGTTTCTTTCTTCTTGGTCGGTCCTGGCGATAAATATTGAGGAATCGCCAGTTAGTTGTTAGCACTTCAGTGAATGAACAACTGAATAATGTACATTCTTTTCGTTGTACATTGCCAGCAACCATATTGTCTCTTATTGAGTTTTCTGTAACTTTGACAACGAAAGGTTGTACACTTTTCAGAAACGCAGCAGAATAGGTTATGCGATTAATAAACATAGTGATATATTAAAACAAACAACAATAGATAACTTGTTGAAATATCTAGATGGCAGGAACAGGTAGCCCAGATGCTCAAGCAGGCCGCCCTAATATAATTCTCTGTCAGCAAAATGGAATAAATCTTTTAAAGTACATTGCAATTAACCGTTGACTAATCGATTCTAGTTTTTAATCCAATCAACTAACCAATATTTTTACATGATCATCGTTGAAACAGTTGTAGATTAATGCAACCAAAGTTACAATGAAATTAATTATGAGTATGGGGATTTGTGGAGATTGTAATATTTTCACTGTTGAATTCACGAGTCGTTCTAGGCTAGACCACCATTGAAAATCTGGAAGCACTGGACGACCGTTTCGTTGTAGTATGGGACTCGTTAGTAGTGTGCTTTCACGGTCCCGTTCTCGAGACCAAAGATCCTGGGTTGAAGACCCGCGTGCAGGGTTGTGAATGTACACTGCTGAAGAGTCCCATACCAGGGCGAAACGGCCGTATATTGCTTTCAGGTTTTCAATGATGATTTAGCTTAAATCGACTCGTGAATTCAACTGTGGAAGTAGATTATTCTATTTGTAAGCATAGACAATGTAAATGAAATAAAAATAGAGACAGTTATTTAATATTCAAAATACCTCATCATCATTATAAAGTTGAAAGTTTGACTTATTAACTGCCGTCGGTTCATTTTTCCAATCTAACTTAATTTATCAATAGCAGATAATGATTCATTTCCATGTGTGTGTGGGCATGTTTACAGTCGACAGTGTTTATCTGTATGACTAATGACTGATTATTGTATATGAATAAGCCAATTTTAGTTACTTCTTTCACTTTGAATCCATTTATCAAGGTTAGATTATAATATATATTCTGTGCAAACTTTTAATAGATAAATAAGCCAACTTCCTAAATGGTAGTTAACTTATTCAATGCATAGTCGTTCATATTTTCATTCAACGATTTCTTATCGTTCAGTTATCTGAATTATTACTTGTTTACTTAAACAAAAAAATTTTTGTTAAATCAGGACGATAATTGTTATTTTTACAAGTGTATTCGTTATTTTTATTATATGGCTGTAAGTAATCAGTTTGTTGATTATGATACTATCTTCAATGGGTTAATCAATCAGTCATAAATATCATTAGGATCTGTGCAAATGTATCGTCGAGAATGTTAAATCCCTAAATACAATTTAGTAAGAAATTCAGTAAAAGATTGTATAGTAATTTTCATTGTGATTTTTATTCAGTTAATGTTTGTATTCATTGAGTATGAACTACGTTCATTTGATTTGCATTTGATTTTTTCATTATGTTAATTAATTGAATGAACATGAATGTAATTTGAATTCTTCTGGGATCTTTATCATACAAATCTTCTTTGCATGATTTATATTTTGAGGTCATCAAGGCTAAGAGAGAAAGAAGCTACTGCATCTGGATTCGAAGTATTGTTAGAGTAATTGCCGTTACCACAAACCATATTACTGTACATTGGTTCAAATTAACATATACAGCTGAATTTCAAAATAAGTGGAGTGACCAACACATTGAACTGATTAGTTCCATTTACTTAGGTTAATTATTGACACGAATGTGTTTTAAAGCTATATTTTGCATATTGTAGCGAAGAAATCCATCTCAAATATTCATCTGTTCTTACTCCACAACGTTCGAAAGACTGGATTTCATTGACATCTTGATCAAACAGGATTATGTCATTTGTGTTATCCAAGTTAGTAAAATTATCTCCAGCTGAGATATCAATCCTTGTGAAGTTAATCAATAAAATAGACACTTACATAATCATATCTATGCTAAGATCAATTAGAAAATGGGAAGTGTTAGTATTCGTGACGAATGAAACTTAACGTACCGAAGTTAGCTAATAATGCAGCGCAAGCTGTGACCCAACCAAGAATGTTCAAAGAATCTACGCATAAATTCTGATGAAACTGAGCACCAAATGGTATGCATAAAAAAATGAGATGATTTCGTTGAGAAATAAACAAGGAAAGAGAAGTATCATCAAAAATAAGTGAGTAGATTAGTGGATTAGAATTGAAATATAGTAGGCTATACAGTTCAGATAGAAATATAATTCACAGGGACTTATTTCAGTTAAAGGATTTCCTCTCACTTCTATGAAGAAATGAAGCTACAATATCTATTCTAAACCATTTCCGATAATATCTCAAGTCACTAGACCGACAGACATCAACATGGAGTCTGGTACAGATGTACGTTGGCCCAAGTTGTCATACTTGATAAGATAAAATTATCAAAAGGGATTGAATTAAAGAGTACATATCACTGATATCAAGATCCACAGTGATTGTTGGCGTGTCAATACTGTACACTGAGTGCTCACTGGTACACATCTGTGTCAAGGACAATCGTATCTCGACTGACCAATATGATATGTATATATATATGTTCATGTGCTGTTTTGGAGCCAGGTACATAGATCCATTTATTTAAGCACATTTCTCAACGCGTTAGAGAACGTTTTCTTAAATCATTCAGTTGTAAGACAAAATAAATATGACTAACAAATTGCATCATGCTATAACCTACCAGTGTACATGGATTTTCGTAGGTCGATGAATACTTAATGGATTTAAAACTTGGAATACTAGTCAGTTCTATATTTGTTATAACGGTATTAAAATGTGCTCGCAAAATGTAAGTCATACTGATTACCTGTGTAAGTTCGAACAGCTGTTGTAAGAACACAAAGTAAGTGAGTAGTGCAAGTGTGGGCGGGCTTACTGTGAATGAGTGTTTTATTAATCTGCCCAAGGTCATCACCCACATATCTTTCTGTTAATCAGCCCAGTAATTGTATACATATTACAACATCTGTGGTCCTTCAATACTGTATTGTTGAAAACTTATAATCGTGTTAATTATTGTAATGAATAGAACGTACTTTTTTAAAAGAAGGGTTATTTATCACATGTGATCACCTAGGTGTGTTGTGTTTTTAACCATCATCATCTATTTAAATCTCTTGCATTACATTTGACTGAAGTAGGATTTTAGTAGCATGTTTAGTTTTTCGGTATGGTTTTTCTTTATCTTCCAAAAAATGTTCTTTAAGTGCTACAATTGTTTAGTGGTTAACTGTTTCAATTTCAATCATTGACTTATAAACGGTATATATATATATATATATATATATATATATATAGAGAGAGAGAGAGAGAGAGAGAGAGAGAGAGAGAGAGAGATTAACAACTACTGTTCAAATCCACCTATCAGCGTAAAATGAGGACAATATACTTTTTCGTTTGGTATCGATTGTGTCATGTGCTTTAGTAACTATACACATGTTTAACGCCTAACCAATTAGCACTAGAGAGAGAGGAATAAAATGAAACTGACCGTAATAGTATTTACAGCTCACGCATATCATGCAGATTGTCAGCTATGGGGACATTTGGAGGTGATGGCGATTACCTTGGTTGGATGAATAAATCCTTTATTCATAATCGTCCCTTTCAATTACCCTACGGTTTTACAACACTATATGATCTATTCAATTGGTGATGTGCAACTTGGGAGGATGATTTCGTTGGAGTTGCGTTCCCTGAGTTGGATGGTTTAACCGTGAATTTTTCATTGTCTATCTAGACACGACAAACTTGAAATAGAAGTTGAGCTGTTCGAATTTCTGCATATTTTCCTGACAGCTTTTTCAGTCAGTCAGTTGATCTTATGAAACAGCTTGTCTTATCGACCTCGATTTTGATTGGTTGTTGTTGAGCTTTGTCCTGTCATAGTTTGTATTTTTTATCTCAAACATTATACTCTTTGACCTGATTCTACATGTTTTTTTTTAATGGTTGATAAATTGAATCAATATTGATATATTTCTGACTCGCTGATTAATCTAAGCACCAAGGTTCTAAAAATCCTCTGGTTTTCTTTGTATTTTCTCTGTCTAAGATTTCAACGTTTTCCCAATAGAAAATGTGTCCATAATTGTCTCTGCGTGAACTGATAAAAGTGAAGATTGATCGTGGTGTTCAACAACTAGTTGATGTTCGTGCTGGTGAGGATGAAGAAAGTAGCCACTTTATCGTAGTCGGAGCACTTTAATTTGTGGATAATGTCTGACTGTTCTTCTTTGTAATTTCATCCATTGGTTTGCATAAGATTAACTGATGTGGTTTTACTGGTTTATACTCTATTTCTATTCCAACTCAGTCAATCAGTCAGCTACAACGTACGACCAGGCACAGATATATGCTCGGTCCAAGTTGCCACACCTCATTAGCACAACAAGATGAACACCGAATTCATAGAAGTAGTTACTGCCATGATAGTAAAAAAGATTTCATATAAGGATATGCCTCAGGGAGAAAGAATTAGTTTGTAGGAAGAAAGGCGTAGAGTAATTTTAACCTCACGGTTTAAGGGAAGATAAATAGTGTATAGACCGTCACCATTGTGATGGATTCTGAGCCATATCACCCAGTCTCCAAGCATTGGTTACAATAGTCACGTGGATCCCAACCAAGTAGTCTGCATCTACCAACATGGCTGAGACCATAAGTTAGTGACTTTGTGTACTGATGCTACGTTCTGGTTTGGCTACCCCTAACTTCCTTCCAACCGTCTTCAACGCTAGTGAGCATTGTGCGTCGTGGTAATCGGTGTTCAAGCATGTGTAACACGTGGCCCAACCATCTCAGTCGATGAAGATTTACAACCTCATCAACTGATTTACGATCATTCCCTAATACCCTGTGTCTAACCTCACTATTGCCTACCTGATGACCCCAGCAGATCCTGTCAATATTTCTAGGATATCTGTGATCAAATACTAGTGACTTACGAATATCTTGTACTCTTAATGGTAATGTTTTTCAGCCGTAAAGTAGAACAGAATGAAGTGCTGCGCAGTCTATTTTAACTAACATCAATGACCTTTCAATTTCTAAAATGTTCATTATTGATTTACACGTTTAATTTCGTTCATGCTTACGAGTTTGATACATATATTTTAACGTACTTTAAATAATTCTTTTCAAAAAGCAGTCATTTAAAATTTTACTCCATTTCCTAGTACTATAGGTGTTTTTCTTTGTGTCTGTTTAGCTTTACTTTACATACCATAATAAAAGCTTTTGATAATGATCAGTTGGTATAGTATGATAATCGACGGTAAAAGTCATCGAAAAACTGTTGAGGATTGGATAACAACAAATTGCTTCCCTTTTCTCCAGTGGCTTGCTACATTTTAATGAGCCATATAAATATCAGTATACTACATTTTACAAATACGACACTTATACACCTTTTTTTAACGTAACTGAAATTAAAGTGGGAAACATTAAACGAAATGCTTTGCAAATTAATGCAAAGCATTCGGACAAACTACCCAATAGGATTGTTGTTGTGGTAGTAATGTAGTATGATTAATGAAAACCAGAAGTATAATTCTATTCCACCATTTCTCCAAATGTATACAAATAAGAAGTAAATTTTCTTATGAAAAAGTCCATTTTCATCTTGCAAAACTCATTTATTTTATTAACGTGAATTCAACATATTTTGCACTTTTTGTTGTTGTTCTCTTCCTTTGTTCAAAAATCATGTAGCGAATCACGTGCATAAATTGTGTATGTTATAGTCTGTGCACGTACATCTATGGTGTATTAGCTAGTAGTTGTCAGTCGATAATCGTATTTTGTTCCATATCTATCAGCTATTTAAAATATTCCATAACATAAAAGGATGAATAATTATTAAATTGTTGTGGGTGCACAATGCTGAAAAGTTCTATATTAGGATGAAACGGACGTCCAGTGCTTCCTAGTTTTCAGTAGTGGTCTAGCGAAGACCATTTCGTGGTTTAAACTATGAATATTTCATGTCAGTTAAAGTTTCCGAATTCCATTCAAATGAAAATTTAACACTCATTATGTTCATTGGTATAATATTGGTTGATCCAGACTAACTGGTTGGTATCCGCGCGTTAACAATAACCAGTGTTCGAAAACTTTTAGTGACATCGTAGCTCATAATCGTTCCTTATTGCAGAGGTGTATTTATTTTATCTTTCTTTCAATCTTGTATTTTAGTATTCCTGCATAAATACTTTTCCGCTCTGTCCTCTTAAACTATGTTCTAAATTTCCAATCATTTACATTATCATTGACACTACATTACTCCCATCTTTTTGCTATTCATCCTGTTAATTTAATCTTGTTGCCGTGCTGATATGATATGAAAACTTGGGCTATCGCTTGTCTGTACCATACTCTACGTTTATAAGTGACTATTACATTTTGTGTGATCGTTATTCTCTACACCTGTTTGTAACAATAAACTTTGTAGGTTTTTATATTGATGCACCATGAAATTCAACAGAGTGATTATCTTTAATTGCTTATCTTGTGATTTAGTGTTTCAAGATAATAAGTTTGGTTTCTTTAAAATCTTTCTCAGAAAGATAAATTACTATATTCAAAGATAAACTATTCAAGAATCGATAGAAAGCTGTCACGCAAATGGTGCATGTTTTAAATTTTATTTGTTATATGAAGAATATTCAACAATATATATATATATATATATATATATATACTTATTCTTAATTAGTACTTTTTAATAGTTTACTTACATATTTACATGCACACATTAATCTTTCTCAAAAACCCATATCTACTTACGATGATGTATTTTTTGAAATTATTATTATTATTGACTCGTTTATCAAGTAACAATTCGTGTATTTGACTTCAAGCCAATGTACAAGTAAATTGGCTTTGGGTAACCACTTTCGACGTGCATATTAGGATTATTGATGCTGTTCAATTGCTTAAACTGAAGTAGGTAAAGCACAAAGTTCGAACATTTGACCTGGTGGTTGAAATTTAACCTTAAACATCAGTAGTTCCTCGTGTTTGAACGTCTCTCCGGTTATTTCAGTTTAGACAGTTAATATTACTACCTTCTTTCTCTCTCCCACGCACACTAAACACCCTACTCAAAGCCGATTTACGTAAACCTATGTTTTTAGTGAATGATTTTTATTAACTTTAAATCATAATGTTTATCAGCGAACAAACAGATCATTCAAAATGATAAATTTTTATCGACTAAAACAGTTTAGATAATGTTTTAATTACTTTTAAATAATCCCTAATATTTTTACATAACAGTTAAATTGAATAATAGTAGTATAATCAAAATAAATCTCTTAATAATCTGGTTTATTTTTTCTAACAAAACTATTGATTGTCAAACAGTAGGTTAAGAAAATACATATCGATCTTTATTCTTTTATGTACCCTACTCTGACTGGTAATGTTAAATCTTTTCCTCATTGCTTTTAAAAACCGATCCCAGATATAGTCAGTTGATCACTGATTTGTTGGTTAATACACATGGCTTTCAATGATTCAGGTGAAAGTTCGAATCTTACCATAGGAACCTTGTGGCTTGCAGTGGAATACATACACTTGATATATGCATTACTATTACTGAATAAGTTATAATTCCAAAAGAGTAACTCATACAATTACTCATTCATTCCTAGCTTGTATCTCTGTTTATCCATTGAACTTGTAACCATCTAGGATAGAATTTCTGTGGTGTATAAATCTCATGTATTTTTTGCACGTCTTTCATGCAGTTATTGTGTTGTTATTTTTATGATTATTTAGTTCTTTACACTTTTAATTAATTTTTTGTGTCAATCTTTTTTATTTTCTTAATAATAACATTCAGAGGATAATTCAACTTTCAGGGTATTATGTTTACTCTCTGTATCTATAGTGTTTGTATGTGTGGTATGTTTTCAGATTTATGAGTTTATATTAATCTTTTGTTCTGTTATTCCACTCACACACATATACTCTCTCTTTGTTTTCGATCATTTTTGATATTGAAGTTTTTGTACTGTTGTGTTTATTGTTATTAATACTATTATTATTATTATTATTATTATTATTATTATTATTATTACTTTAATTAGTCGGAAATTGGTTTTGGAAAACTCGAGTCTTACGCCAAACTGGATTTATTGGGTCAAGTAAGTGAATTATTATTTATTTGTTTATTATTTGTATTAGTAATTATCACATCATTAGATATAGATAGTGTTACTAAAATAATTGTTATGGTTTTATTCGGTACATGTACATTCTTATACGGTATAATTTAGCTCATATTATTTTGTGTGTATACTACTAACAAGCACTGTAATTAGTTGTTATTATTGTAGTAGTTAAAAGTACCAATACCCCTCCTGTCAGCTTGAGGAATAGAAAAATATGGTTTATTTCCCGATTGGATCAGAATAATTTCATTCATATGAGGTGTATGAATGTTGTTTTAAGGTGAATTCGACTGATATTATTATTATTAACTCATTCACCGGGGTACGAATTCGTGTACTTGACTCTAATCCACACTTTTCGGGTAAAAGCATGTAATTATATTCTGTTACTTAAATCGTAATCGGTGGAGGAGATTGAACTGCCGTCTAGTGTTGATCTCATTCACAAGAGATAATGTAGTGTTACTTGTACCAGTTTAAATTTTATTCAGATGACCATAACAAAAGTCAGTTATTCCATCATCCAAGAAAAAATCACTGAAATAATTAAGAGTCTTTTTTATCACTAATTAAAATTAGCTGAAGAATTGTTGTAAACTAAACAAGTACTGATGATATATGGTTTATTCATCTTTACTTTAAGCTCCTAATCGGCAGTGTGTACCCATCCACGTGAACCTTTTCATGAAACCAATCCTAGAATATTCAAGTCCCATGTTGTGCACGGTATCACCAGGACATTCAGTCACTCTCTCCCTTTATAGTGTCATCATTATTTAATATCATTAATGCGTCGCTGTTATAAACCCTAACTGTAGTGCTCCAGGCTATGCACTGTTCGATTGTCGAAGGTTAGAATGAAGCAAAAACCAATATTATTTTCCCTCTACTCTTAAATATGCCAGTCTGTGGTTATGAAACCTATCTTCTTTAGATTGAACCACATTTATTTGTATAGTAATTACAAACTATTCAATCAGTTTGACGATGATCTACTTTCATTGGTGGTGATAACCATGCGGTTTTTTATTCTTTTTTTACTGTGTCAATATCTAAGCGTTTTTCACTTGAATCAAGTCAATGTTTTTTAAAATATATTCTGAGTTTTATTGATTGTAGAATTTTCTTAAATTATTCAGTTTTATATTCATTCTATAGTTGTCATCACCTGACTGATCTTAGTTAGACAACTATTAAAAATCAAAAAGCGTTGTACGGCTATTTTGTGCTAGTGGGAAACTTTTTAACAGCTCGAATCCACCATCCCACTAGGGCTTGAAACTAGCACCTTCAAATCTTGTGGAGAGCACCTAATCGTTGGACCACTGACCCCGACATCCATTGGTTTACATTTCTAACTTCAATTAATTCACAATATTATAGCAATTATCTTCTCATGTTGATGATTTCTGAATGTTATTCAATCAATAATATGTCATTTTATTGAAATGGCTATGAGAGTTGATGGATAGGTTTAGTTAATTAAAAGAATATCTGTTTTACACTGAATAAAACTTGATATTTTTTAACTAAAAAGAAATAATTTTATCAATAAACTTTGAAGCAGCAAATTAATAATTCACAAGAGTAAAACTTCATTCATATTCTTTTGTTTTTATGCCATGCTAGATAATATTGGTATATTTATTATTCAACCATATTGTACGCTTCGCTATGTTTATTATAACTAGTATAAAAATGAAACTTTGCTTGATGGCTTTATGTTGATCCCTTTTGATAGTTTGAATTCATTATGTTGTTTGCTTCCTAGTCAATAATAATCATATCAAATAATGTATAGTTCATTTATCAAGTACATGGATTTCATCTAAAGTTTACAAAAATGGTGATATCTAATTTGTGTCTGTTAGAATGGGATAAAAAAACTGTATTCAAGACTACATTAAAATATTGTACGATTCCTGTTCAATATTAATTTCGTAATTCTTCTAATTCAACTGGGATAACTGTTCAGCGTACCCTTCGTTCTATTTCAATATAACATGCGGCATACATTTTTTGTATTAATTCTGTGTAAAATCTGTTTTTATGCTTCATCTATTTCGCCAGCCAGTCATCAAATGTTTGTAAAATCAATATATAAATAAATATACTTGGTTGAAGCTATCTCCGGTTCTTCGCTGGATAAAATAAATCTACTTATGTCAACAGTACTTATCTTCTTTTTTGCAACGTGCGAATCTTATTGTTTCTCGTACCAGCTACTAGTTTTCCCTCAGATTATGTCAGTCTAACGATTAATAGAACACTAACCGACTATCTAAATTTCTCTTATTTCAATAATTTATATTCCCTGTTCGAACCGTATCTTCGATGTCTAAACTTTCCTATTACCACCAATATCTCTCTGTGCTAATGGGTATGGTACTTGAACTGATGTAAATACGTACCAGGTTCTACGTTTCAACTGGCTGACTGACTGTAATTGTAGGTAGGTGAACTGAATTCGAAACCATGATTTGTTCATTCGAAAATCGTTTATCTTTAAAAGCATAAGTCCACTCTTTCCCACTAGTTATATTTAAATGGTAAAGTATACTTTGCCGACAAATCAGTCAGATTTAAAATAGGTGCGAAGTTCAAAACGCGACAACGAATAACTTGTATCTCATTAAGAACTAAGTAAAACCTATCGTTATTTCGTGACCAAGACGTATGAACGATTAATGAACGTTGGAAGGTTGAAGAAAATAATGAAATTTAATTTTTTTCAAGGCAACTTGACGATTCCTAATATTCCAAGTTAAAGAACTGATTTCATGAATATTCATCATTATGGGAACAAAGCATTCTTTCACTATAGTCACAATTGATTGATCACTGGGTGGTGATCAATATCATATGTGTCAAGTCCTTATTAATGCAGATCGAATGCTATCGACCATGTTGCAATGTGGCCACCAGTCTAGATGAGTCGACACTGCCTGCACTATGTTGAGATTAGATGGTGGTTGGAGGTAGTCGACAGGAAACCCTGGACCCGGGTTCCGTGCTATTTGGCACTCGTCGGTAAGGTGTACCTGCAATCTTGACATGACATTGATCACCACCCAGTGATCAATCAATTGTGATTACATCTCAGTCCTACAGGAGGTCGGTCGCGGCCCGGATAGCTCAGTGGTAACGTCTCTGACTGTGAAGCTGAGTGACACGGGATCGGATCCGTCAGGGAGCATCAGTTCCCCCAATATTACAGGTACACCTTGCTAACGAGTGTCAAGTAGCACGAAACCCGTGTCCAGGGTTTCCTGTCGTCTACCTCCAACCACCATCTAATTTCACTATAGTCCTAACATTAACAGTATCTGTTAACTCCAAATTTTAATCCCAACTTTTTTTGGTTAGGAGCTGGCTTTTTTTGCTAAGGTCATTCTAGGGTCACTAAAGGTCGTCACTACATTATACTTTCACCCTTTAAATTAAGTACAATTTTTTATTCTACATATTTACTACTTATTATTACCACCTGTCTATTACATAATTCCATGAAGAAAGACAATGTTAATAGTGATGATTCTGAACTCGATTTATTATACTGTTTAATTGTATAGTCTGACAGTTTACTTGAACTAGTGAGAGGGAGAGAAAGGGAGAAGTAGCATTCATTTTTGCACTATTCACTTTTTCCCTGCTGAGAAAATTTATTTGTTCTTCCTCCTTTTTTTAACAGTTAATCAACAGAAATTTTCCATGTGAATTGTATGTGTAATTATACCTTGATTTATTTATAAATTTCAATTCTATGGTAGTAGCGCATATACGTTTACACGCAGTATTATAAATACAAATCTAAGCACGTTTATACATACGCACAAATATAGATAAAAGTTTTTTACACGTTATTCATTTCATTATGTCTGAAAAGCTAAATAACAACATGAGAGATGTCAAGTACACTATTTAATAATTCAATTTATCAAACATTACAAATAAGCATAAAGTGTGATTCAGAATAGAGTGATGAGTTATTATACGGTTAAAGAACTTACCAGTTACAAGTTTAAATCATATATCGGTTTGAAAAGCTAGTTAGTCTCATTATCTTTCACATACATATTAAAATATTTGTGACCTTTAGTCAGTCAGTCAGCTACAACGTACGACCAGGCACAGATATATGCTCGGTCCAAATTGCCACACCTCATTAGCACAACAAGATGAACACCGAATTCATAGAAGTAGTTACTGCCATGATAGTAAAAAAGATTTCATATAAGGATATGCCTCAGGGAGAAAGAATTAGTTTGTAGGAAGAAAGGCGTAGAGTAATTTTAACCTCACGGTTTAAGGGAAGATAAATAGTGTATAGACCGTCACCATTGTGATGGATTCTGAGCCATATCACCCAGTCTCCAAGCATTGGTTACAATAGTCACGTGGATCCCAACCAAGTAGTCTGCATCTACCAACATGGCTGAGACCATAAGTTAGTGACTTTGTGTACTGATGCTACGTTCTGGTTTGGCTACCCCTAACTTCCTTCCAACCGTCTTCAACGCTAGTGAGCATTGTGCGTCGTGGTAATCGGTGTTCAAGCATGTGTAACACGTGGCCCAACCATCTCAGTCGATGAAGATTTACAACCTCATCAACTGATTTACGATCATTCCCTAATACCCTGTGTCTAACCTCACTATTGCCTACCTGATGACCCCAGCAGATGCTGTCGATATTTGCTAGGATATCTGTGATCAAATACTAGTGACTTACGAATATCTTGTACTCTTAATGGTAATGTTTTTCAGCCGTAAAGTAGAACAGAATGAACTGCTGCGCAGTATACTCGTCCCTGAATTGATAGACGGATATCTCGCCTTCGCCATAGGTGACGCAAATCGGCGAAAGTCAAACGAGCTTTTTGAATCCGTGTAGAAATTTTGTCAGACACCAACTTATTAGGAATGATCAGACTTCCAAGATAAATAAAGTTGTCGACGCGTTCGACTAATTCA